GATACGATCGCTGAAGACAAAGCAGGTGCATAAGCAAATGTGGTGATGAAAGCTGATGGTGCCCGGCTATCAAGATACAGCATCTGGGGTCTTAAAGGCCTGAAGATAAACAAGCGGCCATCTAGCTGAGAAGCAACAAAGAATGCAAGGAAGAAGCACACCAGTCTGTGTGATCATGAGGTGTCGATGGGATCAGGTATCAGGCATCTAAGAACAAAAAATCACTGTGAATGAGGGGGAGTGCAGATTGGGGACCCAAAGCCCATCTGTAGGCAACTGGACATCCCCTTACAGAAGGGTCACAGGGAGGAGACAAGCTAGTGAGGGTGCAGTGTAGCAACGATGAAACATACAACTTTCCTCTAGTTCGTTAATGCTTCCTCCCCCCACCCCCCACTATCTTGATCCTTCAAGTCCAGCTAGACCAGAGGATGCACTGATACACAGAGGAACTGGAAACACAGGGAATCCAGGACAGATGAGCTCCTCGGGACCAGTGGTGAGGGTGGCGATACCGGGAGGGAATGGGGAAGGTGGGGTAGAAAGGGGGAACAGATCACAAGGATCTACGTTTAACCCGCTCCCTGGGGTACATACAACAGAAAAGTGGGTGAAGGGAGATGTCGGACAATGTAAGACATGACAAAATAATAGTAATTTATAAATTATGAAGGGTTCGTGAGGGTGGTAGGGAGGGAGGGGAAAAAATGAGGAGCTGATACCAAGGCCTCAAGTAGAAAACAAATGTTTTGAGAATGATGATGGCAACAAATGTACAGATGTGATTGACACAATGAAAGTATGTACGGATTGTGATGAGTTGTATGAGCCCCCAATAAAACGATTTAAAATTTTTTTGCCTGAGATTGATGGTGGTGTTTGAAAGAAACTCGGTGATCATGCGATGGTGCGGCTGTGGTGGGACTCCAGAGCTGTACAGCCACCAGGGAACGCAGTCTGCCACTGCCATAAACACACGGGGACAGAAGCACCAGACAGCCCTGATGTTCCCTACTTGGTGTGGACGCCAAGGGAGAAAAGACTAAACCAGATGTGCACACCCGCCTTATGGTCGTGCTCTAACCGAGAGAAGACGGGCATGACGCACAAGAACCACCTGTGCAGAAACCAGGTTCCCACCCAGAGGAGCCTCGCGAGCCTCTGCAAAAGGACGATGGTGACAGAGGTGCCCAGCACTGCCCTGGCATCCACGGATCTGGAAGCAGCTCTGCTCAGCAAAGGACCCCAGCTCTGGAGGGCATGCTCCAGGAGGCCACGGCTGTGGAGGGGCGGGAGGGAGGAAAAGACGGTCACACCTGCAGCAGATGATGGTGCAGGTTTGGCCAGGCTGAGCGTGGGGTGGAGGGAGGAGCAGGAGGGACAAAAGCAACAAGGGTATTTACTGGGATGCTGTGTTCACGAGGACTGCGGGGGCACACGCGCGCGCACACACGTGTGAGAGATGCTCCACAAGTAAGGGGGGGAGGGGGGAGAGGAAGGCCACAGCCCTGAATACCCTCCAGTTCCCTCCCCCACCAGGTCTCAGGCCTGGCTGGAGTGGTTCCCGAGGAAGGAAAAGGAACACTGTAACGGACCTCCATCCTGCTGTGGCACGAGAGCTAGTTAAAAAAAAAAAGAAAGGATGACACATTTGGGAGCGCTGTGTGGCTCAAGAGCACAGGTGGTTTCCAAACACCAGAGTCCGAAGTTACCCATCCCGAGGAGCAAGGTGTGCCCCCATGCCAGATGGACCCACAGTGTCCACTCCAACTCCTGGCAAACAAACTCCAAATTCACTGGCATCCAGTCAATTGACTCATAGCCACCCTGCCCCTTTGGGTGTCTAAGACTTTAATAAACAGCCTCATCTTTCTCCCAAGAGGTGGCTCGTGGATTCGAACCAGGGACCTTGTGGGTGGCAGGCAGCACCATGTGTAACCCATGACTCCACCAGAGCACCTCTTTGAATTCAGTGACCCTGTGGAGGGTTTCCAGGGCTGTCAATCTTTATAGGGACAGGCTACCTCATATACCCCTGAGGAGCAGCTGGTGGGTTAGAACCACTAACCTTGAGATTAGCAGCCCCTAAATCACTGTCCAGTCGGGGCTCACTTTCCAGACACACAGTGGGCTTTATTGTAGCAGAGTTCCCAGAATCCACTGACAGGGTTTTGGGTCCATCGAGTCCTCTGGACTCACAGCAGCCCTGTAAGACGGGGGAACTGCCCTGAGGGTTCCCGAGACGGCCTCTGTTAACAGTGTGTAGGTGATGGACCAAGGGGCACCTACAGCTATGGGGAAGGGCCATTTCAACAGTCTCCCCGCTCCGCACCCCCAACACATCCACGTGAGAACAGCGTTTCTGCATATACTCCGCCACCCAGCCTCCGTCAATTAGCTGGATGCCACGCTGAGATGAGACGCCACCTGGCTTCGAGGGCCGAAGTCAGAGAGCGTGTCAGCGCTTTGCAAAACCACAGCCACGTGGCTCCAAGGAGACCCACCTATCTGGGAAACCGTTTTCATACAGGCGTTATCGGTGCTAGCCTGCAACAGGCTTGTCCCTTGAGAAGGAGGCACTAAACCTCGTGGAGACCCCAGAGTGAGCATCGCGATCAGCCTCCATAAACAAAAGCTCTTCGGGGGCTTCCATTTTTTGACCGTGCGAAGATGTCTGAGTTGCTCTTACACCCGTGCGTGGGGTGGCATCTGTCCACGGGGGCGGGGGAGGAGGCAGAGAGTCAGCAGTGGCTGTTTTGTTACCGCCCTGCTCGCCGGTTGAATGCCGTAAACAGGCTTTAAAAAGCATCTGTCGTCAATTCTAACTCAAAGCATCTGCCTTCCTTCTCCAGCGAGCTCCGACACAGAAACACCACGGGGGCGGGGGGCTTACGAAATGGAGCTATTCTCACAGTGGAGGAGGCTGGAAGTCTGAATTCAGGAAGCTGACTCTGAGGAGGGGCCCTGGCCATGGGGGTGGGCTACACAGTGGGGCTGCTAACCTCGAGGTCACTCCTCTCCTTCAACTCTCCTACTGAAAGTGTAGATCTAGGTGGCAGGTGGGGGCAGTCTCAGGGGGCACCCAGGAACCCCCAGCTCAGGCAGGGGATATGTGAAATGACGTGCCCCGGTCAGCTGGGTGCGTGGGGCAGTCTTCAGGGAAAGCCCCGAGCCGGGGCCTATGGGGGCAGCCTCCACACCCGTTCAGACTGCACATGGGGTTTACGTACCTTCTGCCCGTGCGATCAGCACGGACTACCCTGGAGTCCTAGGCTAAGACCCTAGCAGGGCCAGGCAGAACAAGACCCTGAGCACCCATGTGCTAGCACCCAGAGCCCAGTATTACTCAGCAAGGGAGAGGGGCAGGTCGCCGATCAGGAAATCCTCCAACTGACAGCTGGGGGTTACCTGCACGGCCACACTCTGTCCACAAGAGATGGGGGTAGCAGCAGGGGAGACAGATCTGAAGACGCTGGCCAGAGGCGCCACAAGCCACAGAATGCAGGTGGCGGGGGGCCATTACACCCTGGCCACCTAGTCCACGCCAATTCGGCTCAGGCAGTGGCTCTGGCCCTTCTCCGTGGGTCCCGAGGCTGCAGCTGTCTCCCTCTGGGGGCAGTCAGCCTCATCTTCCCCTGTGAGCAGCTGGTGAGTTTGGACTACTGACCTTCTGGCCCGTGGGCCAATGTGCATCCCACCCACCAAGCCACCGGGGTTCGATGGGCGTGGCTTCTACAAGGTGGGCATGACAGGGGTCAGGTCTCCCCTGCAGCCTGCGAGAGGACTTAGCCCAACTCCTCACCCTGAGATGGAAGATGAGCAATGCGTGGTTTCAGGGATGAATGTGCTGCCACTCCAGATGGCTGTCCCATGCCCCTCAGGGACATGGTGGGATCAGCACGCTCACAGCTCTTATGCACTGCAAAGACGCACACTCAGTCTGGTGTCCAAGCAGTCACCTCTGGGCGCCCCTCTCCTCTCAGGCCTCATGGCCCTGCTGAGCACATGGGGATGCTGGCAAGGAGGGACAAGGGGGCCGGTCGGGGAGGCACCACTTACAGCCCTGAGCACGTGGGGCACTGACATGGGACTGGAGATCACTGCCCACAGTCCTGCTGGCTTCAGCCCTGTAGCGGGCATGGGGTTCAAGGAGGGGCGGGAGGACAAGGCTGCCTGACATCTGTGGGGAACACCGTCCTCAGGAAGGGCAAGGGCGGTGAGAGGAAGCCAGAGTGCACAGCGTCTGGTGGCTCTGTACAATTTATTGGCGTGGTTCCCAGGCCACAGCTGGGGTGCAGCACCCCTGTGAGCAGTCATCTGAGAAGGCAGCCAGTACCCAGGGGTGTCCCCGAAGAGGAGAGCTACAGCCGGGCTGCAGCTACAGGAACCGGATCCCGGCTCCAAACTGGACACCGTCACATATCCTACAACAGAAACACGGTGTAAGCTGTCTGCTCCCAGGGAGAATGCCCCTAAGACCCAGGAGAAGCCTCTGTGGGGATGCCACTGCGGCAAGGGGCCGCTTTGGCAACTTCGGGAAAGACAGCAGGTCACTCAGCGAGGGACAGGGCGAACCCTGGTCTACCTGAAACTCCCGAGAGTGACCTGTTGGTCGCCACCTCGGGCAGGCCTGCAAGGTGCTGACTCAGTGGTGTCAGCGGCGGCGGCAGCAGGCTACAGGAGTCCTTGAGACCCAGGCAATTCCTGAACATGTCATCTGGATCGGGCCTGGCAGGCCACACCTAGACCGTGGCTGGCAGCTCTGGGACGATGCAGATAGAGTGGGTCAGAGCCAACACGCCACACAGGGGCCGTGGATGACCGACAGTGCGTGTCCCCACCTTGCTGGCGGCTGAAACTACCACCTAGACAGGCTGCTGGCAGCATCACCTACAAACATGGTCTTTCTGCATCTGGGGGTCAAGGAGAGCAGACCCCCAGGGCACCAAACCCGGGGAAGCTCATCACGACCACCCAGGAGCAGCGGTCACGGCCTCTCAGAAGGGCGCCCAGCTGAGGACGGTCTGACATTGATGCACAAACGTCCCCCGGTGAGGCGAGCTGCCTAACTTCCTGGAGCACACCGACCCCCCAATGGCCACTCCCGGTACTGCAGCAGCAGGCAAAGGGCAGCAAGCCTGAGGCCAGATGCAGCCTGGACAGCAGGGAGGGTACTCTGGTCACCGGTTTCAGGGCTTCCAGAGGGAACCCAGGACCCTGGTGGCACCGTGGGTAAAGCACCTGGCTACCAACCAGCTGGTCCTTGGGAGGAGAGAGATGCGATGCAGTGGTCTGGGAAACTGTAGGGGCAGTTTGACTACCTGGTTGGGTGGCCGAGTCAGGCCTGTGACTGGTCAGCAGTGAGAGGGTGGACTGGGTACTGGGGTGCACACATGGCCTCAGTGACCAGCATGGAGAGAACCCACCAGAATGTGATGGGTGAGTGAACACCCCCCCAGTTCTCTGAATGAAAATGCATTGAAGATTCACCCACTGTCATTCAGACTGACTACTAGTGGGGCCAGCCTGTCAGCCCGGCCTCGCGGGGTGTGGGGGGGGGAGAATCCAGGCTGAGAGGGGGCCCTATGGCCGGCAGGTGTGCTCATGTCTCAGGCCTCAGTGGGCAGGGCCCTGCGCACGTCCCGTCTGCTCCTGCTCATCTCCTCATGCCACACTCACACTCACCAGGCAGTCCTGTTCCCGGGAGAGACAGGGGGCCACAGGCCCACTGGGCAGCACTGGGGGGACCGTGTGAGAAACTTGACACAGGCCTCCATCTGCCCTGGGCCAGACAGTACTACCTACTTGCAAGGCCGCCTGCTGGGAAGCTGGGAGGCCAGGCTCCCGTTTGCAAGGGTGCCAAGGCCGGGCACAGTGTGGGCAACAAGGGTGGTGGGGTGGTGGTGGTGGGGGAGGAGAACGGGCCATGAAGCAGGACAGACTGTCCAGTGAGCAGCCTGCCACCAGGATGCTAGGCATTCTACCGTCACTGGGGTGTTGTGGCTGCTGCCAGTCTCACCCTGAAGAGTGGGCCACAGTGAGTGTGGCAATGGACGGACAAAGCTGACTGTGGACACAGGCCCCCTCCCTGGGAGGAGTGCCCAACTCGCCCCAGGCTTGGGACTGGGCTGCTGGGCTCAGGTGCAACTGTCGGCCTGCTGGTGCAACTCGGGAGGGCCCCTGGCCGTAGAGGGAACAAGCACAAGCCGTGTGTGCATGCGCGTCCATGTGGGCATGTCCACACGTGCACGCCCAGGACACTTCTTCCAAGCTGGCAGGAGAAAACACACTGAAGGTGCATACACACCTGGACTTCCATTCTGTGCCTCCCTAAGGGCCGCAGAGAGGGGACAACTGCTCAACCAGAACCAAGTGTTGGAAGTGCAGTGGTGGGCAGGGAGCACTGACCTGTCGCCCCCCTGGACGCCCATGGGGATGCAGTAGTTCAGCTCCAGGCGGGCGATGTTGCCCAGGCGGAGGACGATGCCGGCGCCGTATGACCAGCGGATGCACTCGGCCAGCTTGCGGATGTGGGCCTTGGGGCCCTCTCCTGGGGATAGAGGGGTGGGAGGTGGTGTCCCACAGGGCCTAGCTGGCTGCGCCATCTACACAGGGCTGCACTGAGCATGAGTGCCCAGGGCAGATGCAGACAGGCCCTGGGATCAACTGGCTGGCTATCCTCAATAAGCTGCACTTCCAAGTCCTTGGGCTCTGGCACATTCCATGGCTCCTGCCTGCTCCCACCCCCAACCCTGCCCACCAGCTGGACCCCACAGGAAGACAGAACCCCACAGGGGCCCAGGCACGGCTTGTTGGGAGCTTCTCTGCAGTGGCAGGGGACCCCAGGGGCCTGGCCCTATAGGGACGGCGTCCAGGAAGGCACTGCCCTCCAGCTCGGGGCCGGGCGTTACCGTAGTTGAGGTTGCAGAGGTTGCCCGCGTTGAGGAAGAAGTGGGTCCTGAACAGCTCCCCGAAACCACCTTGGCCCGGCCGGAAGGGCAGCGGGGTGTAGAGGTGCAGGCCGCCAGCCCAGTAGGCCTCGCCGCCCAGATAGTCGCCTGGCACACAGCGGGGACAGAGAGTCAGATCAAGGACGGCGAGAACGCGAGAGGATGGCACCCTGGTCCCAAGGGGCCATGGCATCGACCCCAGGCCTACCTTGGACAAGCTCACCATCACACACAACCCTTCCCTGAAAGCTGGGGCCAACCGACATTGATAGCCCCTGCGCTCCTGGAAAAGCACCCCCCCCACCCCCCCAGCATCCCACGCCGCCAGGCTGAGGGCAAGAAAGAAGAGCTGCCGAGAACCCTTTACAGTTGGCTGCGCAATACTCCTGGTAAAGGGCCCGCCCGCCCAGCTCTCTAGAGACAGACCCCGGAGCACCCGCTGCCCTCCAGCCCAGCTCTCTAGAGAAACGTTCGTGTGTCTCCAGGGGACCAACAGATCGACTTTGCTTTTTCCCTTCCCAGAATTTGCCCTTAGCCAACCGCACTCCTTACGGGAAACCGGCCGCCAACGGGAATGCGAAGGAAAACGAAGGGAGAAGGGCCCTGGTTCTGGCACTCAACCTATCTTCCCTAAAGGTGGGAAGACGCATGTGTCTGCAGGGCCGCCCCCTTGTGGCCTTTCTGTGCAGTAGCACCAGGCAGGGAGGACAGGGAGCTCAGGTAGCTGCCAGTTGCCCACTGACGG